GCTGGGAACCTTGCAGCGGGTATAGTCGTATCCATAGATGCGTACGTTGAGGGACCTTTGAACGCGCTCGTTTGCCTCTACGGTCTTAATTGTGTCCTCTAAGCGCAGTTCGTTGTGCGAAACACGGTTTTCCACACGCTTAAGTTCAGTTTTTAGCGTGGCAATTTCCTGAAAGGGAAATGCTTGTAATTAGTATATTTGCAACCGTAAAGTTAAAAGAAAAGGAAATGTCGGTCCGAAGACCGAAATACTGGTGTATGCTGCAGAGCAGCATACGGCATATATGTGGAGCAGCCAAACAGCTTCCCCAAAATTTGATGTAGCACGACTGGCTACATCGCAAAATGCGGATGTAGAATGCATATGTAATTAAAGACGGTAAAAAGGAAAAGAAAATAGAAAAGAAAATTGATGAAATGTAATAACAGATGAAAAGTAATATCATGAGCCGTAGAAAACAGATGTGGAGGACTAGTGCAGGAAATAGTGTGGATAGGAGTGAGAAGGAGAGTAAGGAAGGAATCGCAGTAAGGGAAAAGTAGTAAGGGAAAAGTAGTCTAAAGGATCGAGCTTACCGCGCGGTGGCTGGATACAGTGCTAATGCTGATAATTATGCAGTGGTATTGAACGTCTTGAAGAGACGATTTGGAGATGTTGATATCATTCGCCATACTTTGTACGATGAATTAAAGAATTTGAAAGCTGTGGACAATACGCGTGGACTTCGAGATTTTGTAGAGACAATGGAAAGAATTTTATTGCAGTTGGAAAATATGGGCGAAAATATTGACCTACAGCATGTCGATATGATGATTGAAAGTAAGCTCCCGCGCTGGGCATTATTGGAGCTTTACGAGGCAAAAATACATGATAAACCGTGGAGTGTTATGAAGTTACGATTTCATTTGGAAGAAATTGTACGGAAAAGAGAAAGCGTAAATAGGATTCTTGGCGAATCAACATTGGGCAGAAGCAAAAGTTCAACAAGACAGATGGAAGATCGGTCGGAACTGAAAAACACTTCTG